AGAAAATAAATTTTCACTTTTATTTATTTTTCATTAAAAAACCTAAAAACAAACACGCAGAACTAACCTAGACAATATGAAAAGTCATATGAATTTATTTAATTAAAATAAAATATAGAAATTACATTAAAATTAAGACAATAGACTTTATAACTATTCAACCCAATAATAATTAAAATGAAAAATTTATTTTTTTAAATATTAAAATATAAATTAATTATTTTAATATTTAAATAATTTAAATTATACCAATAATTAAGTGATAAACTTAAAATTATATGTTTAATTAAAAATATAATTTAATCCTTAAATTTTCTATTTATAATTTTATTTATTTATTATATATATTATTTATATTATAATATAATTATTAACTTATAATTTAATTTATTTAAAATGTATAAATAAATTTAAAATTCTAAAAAAATGTGATGGCCCCCCATGAGTTTACCGAACTCGACAAAACCTTTTGGAGATGGGGATAAGGTTTAAAAATATAAGCCTATCTTTTTATAAACATGAACATGAACCCGTCCCACCTTTTATAGGGCCGGGGATAAGGAGAACAAAATCTGTCATCAACTTGCATAATTAGTGTTTTGACATGGTAATTCTCTAAAGTAATCATATATAACAGAACTGTGTCAAATTGGTAACTCTATCCAACTCATTACGAGTTTGTCAATAGATGGGTCAATCCAACTTGACTCATCTTATAGAGAGTTTAAAAAAATATAAATTCAATCCAACACATTACATGTTAATAGATTAAACAAATTAACTTACTTATATTAAAAAAATTATTAAAAATTATAAAATATATTATAATCTTATATTTTTTAAAATTACAACTACATTAATAATATTACAAAAAATGACAAAAAGAAAATAAACATTAACTACAATTAAATTAATCAACTTATAATATCAAATAATTTAAAAATTGTTACATAAAATATTTACAAATAATATCAAATCTATACTAAATATCATAATTCACAATTAATATGTATAAAATTTAGTAAATAATATAAATATATAATTACTTAAGTTAACATTTAGAGACTTAAAAATAAATAAAAATAAAAAATGAAAATTATACTAAGTGAACTAATTTATGAGTCAATCCACCTCATCACAAATCTAATAAAAAGTAATTCAAACTAATTTTTTTTATAATTAAAATCAGTCAAATTATTTTAAACCAATTCTACTCGAACTCATAGTTATAGTCGAGTAGCCACTCACTTTCACAGCTCTCCATGCAGACTTTCGTCACCAAAAGATTTTCATTCTTCCCAACAAATTTTCACGAGCTTACCAACAAATAGATATTTCTTCTCCTTTGGGTCCAACAGAGGTTGTCCCACTACCTTGTCACAAAATGACACCACAAATAATACTACATTACATGCTATACTATATACTAAAAAAATTATTTATATTGTTAGAATGTCTATTTCAAATTGGACTCTTTCAAAATTGTCCTTCTCTACCGAGATCGTTTGCAAACATAACCACAAAAAGTGACAATTGGAATTCATTCAAAGACTAGACAAATTTTGAGATAATCAAATAAATAAAACATACTAAATAAATAAAAAAAAACCTAAGTCAGATTACATTTATTAGAACACCATCCAAATGGTTCATCCAGATTTATCGTTAATCTAACTACATGTGTGTTGCTCTGCAGATTTGTTTCTTTATGCATCATAAAATGTTTACTATACTTCTTGTCCAGAATGAGTGTACATAGATTAACGAGTATTTGATAAATGTAAAATAGTAATATGTTCAGTTTAAAATGTCTTTATTTAATACAAGACGTAAATGTGATTAATTATTTGTTGGAGTAATTTATATTTAGTTTAATTGTTTAATATGAGATGCAATTGTTATTTATTCTTTATTGAAGTACTTTTAAAATAAGTTGCAAGTGTAATTTTTTTATTTAAATATTAAGTTTAGTTATTTTAAATAAGGGTGCATATAAAACAAACAGTTAATGATACTTTTTTAAAAAAACAATCATTTTATTAAAATATCATTAGTTTTAATAAAATAATAAGTAGTAAATTAATAAATTTAGACTACTAGAGTAGCTTAGTAGTTAAAGGAGGAGAAATTGGAAGTAGTAGAATCATATAACCTGCATTTGATTCTTATTATAATTATTTTTTATAATCTTTTCTATTTTTATCATAAAAAATGATAAATTTTAAAAGAAGTAGTACATTTAAAAAAGAAACTTATTTTTAAAAATTAAATTAATTTTTTTTTTGTTTAGTTGTATTTTTATCTTCAAGTATCACAATTATACACTTTTGACTTATTTAAGTTACATATATTATAATTTTGGCTTAATTGCACTTTTGGTCTTCCTAATTTAATGTAGGAGTAATTTTGGTCCTCATAATTTGAATTGCTTAATTTTGGTCCATAAATTTAAATAATGGGTAATTTTAGTCCCACAAACAGTTTACCATCCAAAAATTTAACAGGCATTAATGATGTGAATTTTATGCTAAATAAACATTAATTATATATCATTTAATTTCTTACGTGTCAAATTATTTAATATTCAAATTTTAAATTTTTTAAATTCCAATAACATTGAAAACAAAATGAAAAGGGTATTGATATCAATCGCAGTGAGAATTTTTCATTAAAATAGAATTTTTTTTTAATTTTTTTTTAATTTTTTTTTTGCATTTTGGATCTGAGCATGGTGTAAAACTGGATCTAGAAGGGTCTATTCTACTTTCAAAACGGCCTGTTCTCCATGCAACACTTGCAGAACAGCCCGTTCTCCTTTTAGAATGGGCCGTTCCGGATGCAAAAATACACAATGATGAATGGATCAAAATGGGCCGTTTTGCTTCCACGTTCCAGTTTCAAAATTAATAGACTATGCGTGCAAGCAAAATGACCTGTTTTGCTTGGAGAACGGGCCGTTTCAGTTGCAACATTAACACAACCTGAACTACAAACAGAAAAGAAAAAAAATTTAAACACTACTCATAATTCGGTTCTCCGGGAACTGAATTCTGAGCATGAACAGTAAAAGGTGCTACTTCTGTAAATAAATTGGAACAGGTGCTGTTTTGGTAAAAAAAATTTAAAAAAATTTTATTTCAGTAAAAAATTCTCGTAGTGATTGTTGGAAAGAAATGATACTGGTGGCGATCGTGGCGGAGGTGCTGGAGGAGTACACGACATTGCTGGTGAGGGTGCTGGTGAAGAAACAAAGGGAAGGGTACGGAGGATGAGAAAACGAATTTGAATTTAAAATTTTTAAAATTTAAATATTAAATAATTTGACACGTAAGAAATTAAATAATATATAATTAATATTTATTTAGCATAAAATCTAGATCATTAACGTCTGTTAAATTTTGGATGGTAAATTGTTTATAAGACTAAAATTGTCCATTATTTGAATTTATGGACCAAAATTAAGCAATTCAAATTATGAGGACCAAAATTGCTCCTACACTAAATTAGGAGGACCAAAAGTGTAACTAAACCTATAATTTTCATTCATATATTAAATAATATATATTTATTATTATTAAAATTAATAATATATGTAACTTAAATAAGTAAAAAATTATATAATTAAAATACTTGAATGACTCAAATCTCAAATCATACTATTGTAGTATTTGAGGACTAAAATTATTTACTTAAAATTTGAGGGATCAAAATTATACAACTGTGATACTTAAGATATTATATAACCTGCATTTGATTCTTATTATAATTATTTTTTATAATCTTTTCTATTTTTATCACAAAAAATGATAAATTTTAAAAGAAACTTATTTTTAAAAATTAAATTAATTTTTTTTTGCTTAGTTGTATTTTTATCTTCAAGTATCACAATTATACACTTTTGACTTATTTAAATTACATATATTATAATTTTCATTCATATATTAAATTATGTATTATTATTATTATTAAAATTAATAATATATGTAACTTAAATAAGTAAAAAATTATATAATTAAAATACTTGAATGACTCGAATCATACAAATGTAGTATTTGAGGACTAAAATTATTTACTTAAGATTTGAGGGATCAAAATTATACAATTACGATACTTAAAATATTAAAATTGTACTATTAAAATTTAAGAAACTAAAATCGTACAATTGTGATACTTAAATAACTAGATTTTATTCTATTTTATTAGTTCACATTCACTTATTTTATTTTATAATTTAGTTTTATATACCACCTCTAATTCATTTTACATGTTAAAATTAATTTTTTTTTTATTTGAACATTTCCTACATGACTAGTACTTATTCATATCATATTTTTCCTCTAGTACAAATATAAAGGAAATGTTATTTATGGATTGACTTTACAAATACACAAGTAAGTAATTATTTTCATTTAAAAATCTTATCAATAATATTAATCTTATCAATAATAATATTATTTACAATTAAGGATTTGACATTGTAATTCCAAATGTATATTCTTTTATCAAACATCAGAATCACTAAAAGAATAATTATACAATATTTACAAAATTACATTTCTGTTTGCATAAACTAAAAATCAATAACTTAAAAAGAATTGCTTAAATAGAAAAATTGAAAAGAAGAGATAATGATGAAGAAAAAAATTATTAATAAAAAAAGAGAAAAATCATACACATTAATAGTTTATTATTTTTTGTCTAGACAGTTTTATTTTATTTATAATTTAATTGAAGTTAAACAAAATTAACATTAGAAGAGATCCTTAGAAAAATAAAAATAATATATGTCATTTAATTAAACTTTAGAAGAGATTCCTTAAAAAAAGAAAACGTAACATCGGTGACAATAACTAGATAATCTCATTCACCATCCCAAAGGAAATATTTATTTCAAAACAACCTACTTGAATATATAACCCCACTTTAATAAATAATACGTTCTAAAAACAGTCCCACAGTAGTATAAACTACAAAGCCTCGTCCACAGACAGCAACATAGTAACCACCAAACGCCTGGTTAGCAAATGTTCCAAAACCGGTTTCAACATGGTTGTTTCATTCAGCTGGTCACTGATGAAAAGTCCTTTAACCAGGCCAAAATCCACCTCCTATAAACCAATCGAAACAATTTCCTTGTTGGGCACTGCAGGCTAACTCTGACTCTTTTCGTTAGGACTCGGTCCCCTTGTCGTCTTGTTGACTACTTCCTAGTTCTTGTTCTTAGTTCTTAGTTCTTAGTGTTGGAGTTCAAGCGTGAAGTGAAGTCCTACATTGGTTAGAGTTGGGCATGTTGAGTAATATATAAGTGAGAAAGACCCACCTACCTAATGCCTTAAAGTTTTAGGTTATGTTGTGGTGTCAAGCTCACTTGTATGACTTACTCACTATCCATTGTGTGAAATGCTCCCGGCGTTAAAAACTCTCCAACACTTAGTTCTTAGTTCTTCTCAGCATTGCTTCTTCAATGAGTTAGTAGTCTCTTCCCTTCCGTTCCGCATTTGTGAAACACAATGGGTATGATGACTTGGGTGGTTCTTCTTTGCTTGCACCTCTTGTTCCGCGGGATGCACTGCCAGCAGATAAGTGACTTCGATAACCCCCTGGTTCTGCCACGTGTCACCCAGCTCGTGTATGCTCAAATCTCCAACATCACCTCTCTTCTGAATCATCAAATCAAAACCACCTCCAGTTTCTGCGTCAAAGACCCGTGAGTCACTTTGTTAGTAGCATGCATACCTTAAGGAGTGTTTTTTTTTTAATAATATACATTTTTTAGTTTTCTAACTACCATGGTATTCACAAGACTTGGCTTTGGAGAGAACTAATCTCTCTCAGGATCTTGACTATATTAAGACTATCTCTGACCGTCGTTTTATCAAATTTAAACTCGAACTTGAAACCTTGAGATTTGAAAATCAAATGCTGCACTAATTGGACCAACGAATATTGGTCTTCTAGGAGTTTATATTATTTATTTTGACAAATTCTTTATAGCTCAATTTTACAATAACTAATTTGTTAGGTGGAGACCAGATTATATATACTACTCTGGATTTATCATTTGAAGACTTAGGATTTCCAATGTAAGTGAAATATTATTTGGTCTAAGGGACTATTTGGAAAAGCTTCTTCAAAAGTATTTGCAGAAGAGAAAAATAAGAAGAAAAAATTAAAATAGGTTTCTTCATAAATTAAAACTAGCTCATGTATAAGTTAAAAATAAAATTTTGAAGAAATTAATAGGAGAAATTTTTTCTAAATTAATTTATTGAGAAACTTATTTCATTTTTTTCTCCTAACTAGAAGTCATTTCGAAGAAATTTACTCAAACATGTCTTTATTCGTCTCATGAAGATAGGAGTAATCTATTTTTCTTTTGGAAGGTGAAAATGTTGATGATGTTAGTTTTTCTTTTTTCAGGAACTAATTTAATGTACTAAAAGAATTCAATTGATCAACTTTTTCATCTATCAGAGATGACAATTGGAATTTCATCTTTCTTCCTCTCAGAATTAAACTGATAAACTTCTTCGTTTAATTTCTATTATGTAGAATTTCTCTGTTTTCTATTTTCTTCTACTCTGTTTCTATATAAACAAACAATGGGTTAAAGACTAACGTGATCGATTTGGATAGTAAAAAACAAGTCATTTAAAGTCTGTCTTCATTTTAAGGCTGCATTTGGTCCAACTTTTTTTTGTTTGAATTAAAAGTTATTTTAAAATTAAAGCTGTAACTTAGAAGTTAAAAATTTAAAACTAATGTAGAAGTTGTTTCAATATATATATATATATATATATATATATATATAT